GCTAATATTAGCTCTGGTGTCTCTACCAGGATTGTTGTAGCTAATGTAAGATCTGGTGTACGTACCAGGTCTCTTAAGTTAATGTTAGCTCTGGTGTCTGTAACAGGACTGTTGTAGCTAACTTCTGGTGTTCCCAGAAACATGCCTTCCATTGAGGAAGTATCCAAGCTGACCAGGGGATATAAACAACAACAAAAAAAAAAACACAACTACGAGCCAGAACCATTAATAAAAGGCAGAAGGGGTCCACACTTTCATGTTTTCCCTTTAAAACTCTAGATGAATGTGGTAAAAATGTCCTAACAGATCAGTAGATTTTGAAATTTTCAGAAGGTTTGAGACATAAATCGACCTTTAAAAAAGTTCACATTTTACATTTGCAGAAACAAAAAAAAAATACAAAATTATAGATTTAATTCTATTTTAAAATGCTAATCACTAAGGCTAAAGTAAGGACCATAGAAGTATTGGGTCAGACTGTATTGTAGTTACATTGTAGCACAACCATTTAATCAAAGTAGTAAATATATATTTATAGTTTTCAATGTAGGTAGATCACTTTACCCCAGTCATTTGAAAAGTAGCTCCCAAGCCGAAAAACTGTGGACCCCCCCACCCCATGGTTTACGTTGTTTGTTGATATGTTCTGACTTGAGTGAAATTCTGATAATAAAGAAAGAAAATACATAACAAAAAGTTGAATGAAGTTTTGAAAGCAAACTGATGCTTTCAAACTTTTTGCATATCAAGGAAACGGTAAGCTAACTTGTCTGCTTTAGGTTGCTTAGTTTGTTTTAAGGATATGAACGTATCAGAATTGGCATCGTCAATGTTCTAATTATAATATCTAATAATTATTTGTAGGCTCAGAGCCACAACAACGACAACACCCCTCAGATACACCCAGACCATGATGGTTGTTTAGCCCATTTTGTCATCCATTTTATAAGTTGTTTTGTTTTTTCACTTGTCTTGATCGTTTGATACATTTTTCTTAAGGCGGACTTGCCTTCCATGTTAATGAGTAAATGTTTTAAGTAAATAGCCTATTCGCGTCTAGTCCGCAAAGCTGAGCTCCTGGTTTGTCTTGCTCTGTGCGAGGAAATGCATAAAGTGAAGTGACGGTCTCTGTCAATTATTATAACATGACAAAAACAATATCTAAATATTTCTTAACAGTTTTCAAGCTGATATCACTTCACAATGACATATTTATAAATCTTCGGAAATAATGCGCTACGATTTTTGTGTACATGTACTGTACATGGCTGGGTAGTGTGAAGGATCTCACAATTATTACTGGATTTTGATTGTTTAGGCCACAATACAATTCAACCTTGATTTGTTTCTATAATATTTATTCAGTATCAAGTAGAAATACACAAATAATTCGTTCAGGAGCACCAAATCATCAGCACATTAATACTAGTACTGAATATGGTGTACAAAAGTTAGAAAAGAAAAAAACATGACACCACCCCCAATCTCCAGGACTGTTGTGATGGAAAGGATGATACAATTTGCTTTTTTTATATATATATAGCTTAAGGCCACTGTGAGGTATCAGTCAGAATGCAGTTAGAATCAGAATAGCATATAATAATAAACTACAGACCAGTAGAAATAAAGAACCGAGGAATAGCAAAATTAAATATAAGTAATTCATTTAACATCTATAACTGTAAATGTAAACAACAGCCAGTGAATGCTCTGGCCTAATGTTAGCAAGTGTATTAATAACCAGACAATCAACATAACCACCAGATATGGAGCAATATACACTATATTACCAAAAGTATTGGCTCACCTGCCTTGACTCATACTATGAACTGAAGTGCCATCCCATTCCTAACCCAGAGTTCAATATGATGTCGGTCCACCTTTTGCAGCTATTACAGCTTCAACTCTTCTGGGAAGACTGTCCACAAGGTTGAGGAGAGAGTTTATAGGAATTTTCTGACCATTCTTCCAAAAGCGCATTGGTGAGGTCACACACTGATGTTGGTCGAGAAGGCCTGGCTCTCAGTCTCCGCTCTAATTCATCCCAAAGGTGTTCTATCGGGTTCAGGTCAGGACTCTGTGCAGGCCAGTCAAGTTCATCCACACCAGACTCTGTCATCCATGTCTTTATGGACCTTGCTTTGTGCACTCGTGCACAGTCATGTTGGAAGAGGAAGGGGCCCGCTCCAAACTGTTCCCACAAGGTTGGGAGCATGGAATTGTCCAAAATGTTTTGGTATCCTGAAGCATTCAAAGTTCCTTTCACTGGAACTAAGGGGCCAAGCCCAGCTCCTGAAAAACAACCCCACACCATAATTCCTCCTCCACCAAATTTCACAGTCGGCACAATGCAGTCTGAAATGTACCGTTCTCCTGGCAACCTCCAAACCCAGACTCGTCCATCAGATTGCCAGATGGAAAAGCGTGATTCATCACTCCAGAGAACGCGTCTCCACTGCTCTAGAGGCCAGTGGCGGCGTGCTTTACACCATTGCATCCAACGCTTTGCATTGCACTTGGTGATGTGTGGCTTGGCTGCAGCTGCTCGGCCATGGAAACCCATTCCATGAAGCTCTCTGCGTACTGTACTTGGGCTAATCTGAAGGTCACATGAAGTTTGTAGCTCTGTAGCAATTGACTGTGCAGAAAGTCGGCGACTTGCTTGATTTTATACACCTGTGGCCAGGCCAAGGGATTAGGACACCTGATTCTGATCATTTGAATGGGTGAGCAAATACTTTTGGTAATATAGTGTATGTATACATGAATATCTACATATATGTATATATGTATATCTACATATATGTATAAGAGAACCATAAACAACTCGCCGCCGTCAAAAACCACGACCAGCGTGGGCTTGTCTGACAGTGCCAACATCTCTGCGGCGTGGACGCATTTCAATATATCTGAGAAAGACCCACGGATAGTGTTTGGAAAATGTGTAAAATTTTTAGAGGGCTTGCGTCTGCAAGGCAATTCTCCACGTTGGGTTTAATTTTTCACCTAAAATCCAAACATTCCAATTGCTATGCTGAATATGAGAGGAAGGAAACACTCTTTGTCTTGGCTCCTCCGCGACATTCACTTCACACCAGTTGGTCTTTGTCTTGGCTCCTTGGCGACATTCACTTCACACCAGTTGGTCCTAATAGAGAACATTCTCTCTCTTCTTGCCCCGTTTGAGCAGCTAACTAAATGTATACAGCTCCTCTGATGCATCTATAGCAGATGTTATTCCTTTAATCGCAGCACTAAAGTGTCTTCTAAGCAAGGAGGTTGAGACAGACAATGAAAAGTCCACTCGACTCGAATCTGTCAGCACACGTTTCACTGAGATCTATTCAGATCCGCTGCACTTCGTCACGATTGTACTTACACCCACTACTTGCATTATAAAGCTCATTACATGGATTTGGGAATAAAGCAGCGTGCTAAATACACATTTTCAATAATTAAGTAGTTGTTTTATTCTTTGAAACATTATTATGAATAGTATGAATTTATGCAATTGCAGTGCCTTTATGTTATTCTCTGCAATTGTACTAATGGTACTTCCTGTGTTTTCGGCCTTCATTTTTTTTAATTTTTGGTTCTGGCCAACAATTAATTTCGGTGCGTCCCTAGTTGCAGTGCATTGATGAACTGATATTCTTACCCACTCCTACTTTAAAAGCACCAGCCTAGACTGTGTTTGAACATGTCAAAAGATTGTAACTATAATACTGCAGCGTTTTTTTTTTTCCCCCATCTCATTTCTTTTCATCTTCTGTTGTTAAGACACCAGAGGAGTGCAATGTGGAAGAGGAACAAGAGATAGAAAAGGAGCAGGAGAAGGACCAAGACACGGAGAAGGAGCAGGAAAAGGCCAATCGCACAGCAAGAGTTCAGCCGACTCCTCAGAGCAGGGATGCTATCGCTGAGAGTTCCAATACCCCCAGTTCTGATAGACGCAAGTAGGAAGCAGAAAAGATTTTTTTTTTATTCTTTTTTTTCAATCTCTCTACATTATAAATATGTTTATATATATATATATATATATATATGTATGTATATATGTATATATGTATATATATGTATATGTATATATGTATATATGTATATGTATATATGTATATATATATATATGTAATGTAGTACCTAGTGCGTATTTATTTTCATGTTGTTAATTTTTGGGGTTTAGGTTCCAGGCTCCAGCCAGAGATGAAGAGTCTGAATCACAGAGGAAGGCTCGCTCGCGGCTGATGCGCCAATCTCGACGCTCTACACAGGTTTGTTGCAAGAATTGATTTAAATATTGTATATGTCATTGTCTTTGCCTATAAGTATATTTAGATTTTTTTTCGTACAGTAATTCATCTAATCTTTAATTTATTCCATCTGCAGACCTTGAAATTACTTAATTTTTTATTGAAAGGATGAACATTTGCAACAAAATGCCATTTGAAAAAATCGAAAAATAAATGTTCCTCTAGGCTTTTGTACATCACGGCTACCTGAAAAACAACGCTTTCCTTAATTAAAATACATAAGAATGAAAATTAGTTGTACAAGTCATAACTAACTAAAACTGTATTGTGGGTTTACCAAACTAAAATAAACAAAACCACTATTGATTTATTTTGCTGTAACAGTATCATGTAACTGAAGGCCAAAGAGGAGAGGAAGACCAAAGAGGAGATTTATGGATGCAGTGAGGGAGGACATGCATATAGTTGGAGTCAGAGTAGAAGATGCAGAACAGGGTGCAATGGAAAATTGCTGTGGCAACCCCTGAAAAAAGCCAGAGTATTATGTAACGCACCTCACCCTTCCGTTTTTTTGTTTACAGTCGGCTTTTTTATTGCACTACCTGGCAAAATGGCAACATCAATGATTGATAGAAAGTGGCGGTGTCCACCTAAAACTTTAACCTGTGATACTGTACCTCATCTGTGCTCCTGCCCCACAGGTCTTTGTGAAGATCATCTTCCTTCTGTTTGGACTGTTGTCCACATATATATGTATATAATATATACACTATATTACCAAAAGTATTCACTCACCTGCCTTGACTCATACTATGAACTGAAGTGCCATCCCATTCCTAACCCAGAGTTCAATATGATGTGGGTCCACCTTTTGCAGCTATTACAGCTTTTTTGGAATTGTCCAAAATGTTTTGGTATCCTGAAGCATTCAAAGTTCCTTTCACTGGAACTAAGGGGCCAAGCCCAGCTCCTGAAAAAAAGAAAATTCCATGCTCCCAACCTTGTGGGAACAGTTTGGAGC